CGTCGGTCCGCGAACTCAAGCTGTGACCTTGCCATCAGGGTACCGTTGTCCTCTGATGAGCTGGGAACTGTGCCCAGCTCCGTCCTGGTCTGCAGTGTTTGCACAGCTTTGGTTCATCCCTACAGGGGCAGAGACCCAGAGCACACGGCGAACCCTTCCAGGAGCCCCTGCTGTGCCCCCTGCAAAGGAACAAGGCAGCGCAGTGGACGTGAACCCCGGTCTGGGAGCTCAAGAAGGAAGTGGCCGGCTCCCGCCTGCAATGGCCAGACGCCTGCCGTTCTGATGCACACCCCCACGGAGATTCTCCTGGACCTCAGCTGCAGCGGGGCAAGGCCTGTCCGTGCAGAAGACGTGGAGCTGTTCCCATCGCACCACACACGCCACTTCGCCCCCTGACAGATGTTTCTCTGCTCTTTGTGGCTGGCAGGCAGAGCCCCCGGGCAGACCCCGCTGGCGCCCTCCTCGTGTTCCGTCTCAAGATGCAGCTACCTCCAGGTGCCCGATATTTAGGTTTCCAGTTATGCAGACCTCTGCCACCATCTCAGGGAAAACACTGCTGAGTGTCGAGAGCAGAGAATTTTGACACATTATCACCTCTGAATCGTATGCCTTTACCGTTATTAATTAGGGAGGGAGTTAGACAACACACATGTGTGTATTGATCTGTGATTGACAGCTAACAGCAGCACACCTGTGCAGCTCCCATCAGGCCTCAAGAATGCCACGCACGCTCCTGAGACCAGCATCATCACACTCCCAAGACAGTGAGGGTTCAAACACTGGCGGGGAGGGCCAAGGCCTACGCCCAACAACCAGCACGGCTGGGACCTGAATCTCCGGTTCTGAACTCATCTTCATCCTGGGGTGGCTTCCTGGCCCGCAGCACAAGAGAGCAGCGGCCTTGGTGAGGAGTGAGACATGGGCTCTCAGCGTTCGCTTGTGGCTCCAGTGCCCACAGCGACGGACTCGCCCAGCGTTTGCTGGAGGAAAATGGGGTAGGCCAGAACTGTCGCCCAGCTGCGGTGGCCGCACCAACATCACCCCCAGAGAAACCCTTGGAACTGGGTTCCCAGGAGGCCTGCTCAGAACTTCAGAACCCAAAGCTGTGCAGCGGTCTTCAGAGCTGAAACACCAAAGTGGGCTCTTTGAACCGCAATAAAGAGTTACCGAAGGAAGCCTGTGGCCGGCCTCCAGCAGGGAGTGACCTCACAGGCTGGGACCGCGGCCAGGAGGAGACCGGAAACGACAACCACAGGCAGGACACGCCTCGTGGCGGGTTGCCCGGCTTCTGTTCTCAGAATGGTGAACGTGGGTGGACTGGGAACCGACCATGAAGTCAGGTGAGCCGACCACACACGGTGGAACCTACAACCATTTATCCTGGAACATGCACGCTTGTAAGCAAGTGTCTGCGTCCCCTCTCCCTGGATGGGGGCCCAGACATTCGGGGCAGCTTTGATTTGTGGCTGGAGCACAGTGGATCAGTCTGTGTCGTTGGCCTTTCATGGCAGAGCGGACTCAAGGGCTCCTGTGCCGCCGCCAGTCTGTGATGCACACAGGGACACCAACCAACAGCAGCACACCTGATTCTGCAGGGAGTGCCCCGCCCAGTCCCATTTAACCTGATGGACAGCCCAGGGGCCAGCTTCACTATCACATTATCTTGGGACGCTCTGTCCAGGCTCATTGCACCCACCCATGTCCCAGATCCCAGGTGGTCATTCTGGGCCCTACCTGGATTTATGTCTCATTAAAAAGACCCCCGTGAGACCACGCTCCAGGACTACCAGCAGAGACCTGGAGGGAGGCCCGAGGACAGGTGGCACTAAGACACGCAGAGGTGGTCCTGGCCATCAGTGTGGACCTATCTGCAGCGGGGGTGGGAAGGACCCCACCTAAGAGCGCTCTAGGGCAAGGCCAGGGCAGTGCTTGGCGGGGTTGAGTGGGTCACAGCGAAACACCAGCCAGAACCTCACAGTCCAGCAGTGAGAGATGCCGGTGACAGTGCAGCCAAGAGACAGCGCCCCACACAGCCACGGCAGGGGGCTGCCCAGACAGACTCACTGACAGAGAAGTATGCTAATGAAAGCTAAGGAATTAGCGTCTGGGAGTGCCGTTCACAGCACGCCGCCAGTTATGTAAATGATTACATTTGATCTACCACTTCCCCGGAGATGTTAGGATGTCCATTCTAGGAGGCCGCCTAGAATGTGAGTGAACCCGCAAGTAACAGACGTAGGCAAGTGCTGTCCAACCTGAGACGTCAAGGCTTGGGGGCAGTGGACTGGAGGGCGCCCGTGGGAAGGAAAAGGAATTTAAAAATTTTGAGAAAGATGGTCTCACCAGATACACAGACCACCTGTTCTATATACATTGTAAAGTTAACAGTGATGGCTTCTGGTGGTGCGATTTGGGATGATCTTAATTTTAAAAATCATTTACAATCATAAACAACTGCAATTCTTCCCTGTGTGAGTCATGAGAACAGGTAGGGATCAGACAGCGGGACTGAGTCACAGGGTCAATTTCCCCTTTCTGGGGCCGGCGCCGTGGTGCAGTGGGTTAATCCTCTGCCTGTGGCACCCGTATCCCTTATGGGCACCAGTTCTGGTCCTGGTAGGCTGCTCCTCTTCCGATCCAGCTCTCTGCTATGGCCTGGGAAAGCAGTAGAAAATGGCCCAAGTCTCACGTGGGCTCCTGCGCTCACATGGGAGAGCTGGAAGAAGCTCCTGGCTCCTGGCTTCGGATCGGCACAGCTCTGGCGGTTGCAGCCATTTGGGGGGTGAACCAGCAGATGGAAGACCTTTCTCTCTGCCTCTCCCTCTGTCTGTAACTCTACCTCTCAAATAAATAAATAAAATCTTTAAAAAAAATTTCCCCCTTCTGTGCTGGCGTCACAGCCCTCCCCACCCCCCTGCTGCATGTGGGGGCACTGTATGAGCTGGCCACACGCTCATCTGATGGAGCTCGGCCAAGAGACCCCCAAGCTATGCTCCCTGGGGCTACGGGGCCACATTCCTAAGGATAAGTGGGGCTGAAGCTCCGGATTCTTGCTCCGAGATCACAGAGACCCCGGTAATGGGAAGAGCCTTGGGGTCCAGCCCCCCTCCCCAGTAACAGAACCACTTAAAAAATCTATAAACTTACTACTTTCCCCGTGAGCCCCGGACCCCCACTCTGTGCAAGTGACTATGGGACTTGGTCCAGTGGGGTCTCAGCTGCCTCGCTGGTTAAAACAAAAAGACAAAGTCTCAGGAAGTCTTCTTGGGCTGCCACAGCGCATCCTGCAGAGTCAGCAGGCCTCCGGGACCCCAGCGTCTCTAACATTGAACTTAAAAGTCCTTCAGGAATTCTCCCCCTCCAGGGACCCCCAGGCCCTGGGGCGCTCCTTCCTTGAATTTTACATCTTGCTCTGGCTGCAAGGGTGGAAGGGGGCAGCACCTGCTAGGAGCCCAGGTCTGATGCCAGCTGCACAGCGCCCGGGCTTCGGCCAGGACAATTCACCCTGCCGTACTGCACTTTCTACAGCAGTATGTGGAAAGCCCGCCAGCTGGGATCTGGGGACCCACACACCAGATGTGGTTGTACAAGTGCTAGTAGGACATGGCCGGCAGGTCCCCGATTGTCATCATGGAGCAGCTTCCGAGGGCCCGGCTGCCGCCATCTCCCCAAAGCTCCTCCAGGGAGCTGCTGTGAGTTGTCCCCCTCCCCCTTTACAGATATGGACAGCGGAGGCTCACAGATGTGGTGTGAGCTGCCCACGGGCACCAAGATCCTAGGAGGCAGAGATGGGACTCAAGCCCTGGCAGCTTCCGGCCAGAAGGCAAATGCCCTACAGCTCCAAACCACCAGGCGACCAGGCCAGTGGCATGCCCGGCCCACCCTGCTAGGAGCTGAGCTCTGTGAATTGCTTTTCTGGGGAGAGGTGACAAGTGTCAATCCAGCCACACTTTCCTGCACCAGCTGTACTGTGACTAAGACGCTGCAGGATGGAGGGAACCTGGCGGGTGCGGGGCCCCACTAAACAGATGGCTCCAACAGAGCTCCGACCCAGAGCCAGGGCCAGGCACCGCGCTGACGGCTGGCGGGTGTGGGATGCGCTGGTCTCCCGCTGTGCGAGCTTGGCCAGGTCCAGGTGCCTTTTGGAGTCTTTTTCCTCATCACACACATTGCACGGGATCATCTGCACCCCAACAGGTGAGCCGGGTAACACGTACAGCCCTGCTATGCTGGCACAGCCCAGGTGAGCTGGGTAACACGTACAGCCCTGCTATGCTGGCACAGCCCAGGTGAGCTGGGTAACACGTACAGCCCTGCTATGCTGGCATAGCCCAGGTGAGCTGGGTAACACGTACAGCCCTGCTATGCTGGCATAGCCCAGGGAGAGCTGGTTGGTGTCCCGCCTGCTCCATTTCCAACGTCTGGGAAACAGTGGAGGATGGCCCAAGTACTTGGATCCCTGCCACCCATAGCGGGGACCTGGTTGGAGTCCCTGGCTCCTGGTTTGGCCTTTGGAGAATAACCCGTGGATGGAAGCCTCCTCCGGCCGCCCCCGCCCCTCCATAGATGAGTACAGCCTGGTGTAGTCCTGGGTGCAGCTGCCGAGGTCTAGGCTAGGCTTGGGGCTCACTGAGACAGAGGCTCCATGCCAACAGTGGCCTCCCTCCCACTTCCGCAGCTCCTCACGGTGGGGAAGCTATGAGTCTGCCCAGCCCGCGTCCCTGTCTCCACTGCCTGGCAACCTCGCGTTCCCGGGCTGTGGGTCCGGACACCAAGACGCGCCATCGGGGAGCTGTTCAGAAGACTGGGAAGGCAGTTAATCCCCTCAATACAATTCAAATTAATGTAGGGGCTCAAACACAACGGAATTCCGTGGAACGGAATCGCTTTTTTTAAGAAGTATGTGCAGGGAAAGGAATGGCACTGATTTTTTTTTAAAGGCTGCAAATTAAAAAAAAAAAAAAAAAAAAACACACACCAGAGGAGACGCCGAGTGGTGTTTTCCATTGCACCTTTATTGTTCACGCTGTTTACTGTGCGGAATTCTCATACAGCTTTCCAGAACCACACGAAGAAGCACACCTCCCCCGGTGCTCCCCCACACTTCCCCCCAGCCCCTCTCGCCCACGTCCTCACACGTAGGATGGTCTGCCCGTGTCTGCGGAGTTCCCAGGGCGCGGGGTAGGAGGTGTGCAGAGCTGGGCTTCGGCAGCTGCATCGGCTTCGCGTCCTGGCCCCCAAGTGCCTTCCCCACCTCTCACTCCCCCTTGTCCCCGTCCTTGGCTGGAGCTATCGCACAGGTGGGGGTTGGAACCCTGACTGTATCAGCGGCCACGTGGCCTCGGGAGGTGTCCTGGCCTCTCTGCACCCTCCTGTCACTCACGGGGTTCCACAGGACCCAAGGACCTCAGGAACTTGGGACGCGCCTGGCACGTGGCGCCCTCCCCTGGCAGGGAAGGGAAGACATCCAAGGAGTCAAGGGCAGAGCCAGATGCGCAGGTGTGTTTGCTTTAAAAAAAAAGAGCCTGGTCCCTTCTCAGAGCCCAAGAAATGACTCTAACGGTGGAATTTCAGACGCCAGAGCTAGGGGAGGGGAGAGAGCTGGGGCACAGATGTCCTCCCCATCATGTGGACCTGCTCTTGCTGCTGCTGCCGCCCACGGGCAGGGCAGGCGCTGCTGCCCGGTGAGTGCCCGTTTCAGAACAGGGCAGTGCCCCTGCCAGGCAGGGTGTAAACGAGGGGCTGTAAGAGGAGCGGCCACCCTTTAGGGCGGCCGCTGAATCCCCTTCTGGTGCCCTTGCAAAGCCACCCGTCCTCGCCGCTCAACCCAGTGTGAGCTCTCACAGTGAGGAGCTTGTCACTCACACCCCAGCGACTCTGGAAGGGGATCCCCGGAGATCTGCTAAGGAAGGAACTATGCACCTGAGGCCGAGCCCTGCTGGGGTCTCCCCATAGCTCACGGCACGTGGCCATTCAAATCAAAATCGGCAACGGAACGGCCACGGGGACGCAGTCAGAGGGCTGCCGGGAAGGAGGTGAGACTGCGCGGCGCCCGCTCTGCACACGGCCAGGCTCCTCTTCCTCCGCGGAGTCCGTCCGTTCCACTCCAGCTGCTCTGCGCTCAGCGCCTTGTCCGTGCGGAATTCTCGGGAGAGGCTGTGTCGAAGGGCTGCATGCCCGCGATCATCTCGTATCGCTGATAGAACGACAGAAAGTCACTCAATGGACAATCTCAAAACATGCACCAAGGCCACGCCCAGGGCTGGTATTAAGGAGAAACGTCCTCCAAAGGACGGACGGAGGCGGGAGGCGGGGACAGAGGGAGAGACAGAGAATTCAGGATGAGACAAGAGGGGTAGAACGGCAGAGCAACTCAGTGTGTGACGAAGCAGATGAAGCCAAGGAGAGCTCTATGGAGCTGGGAGCGTCTCTCGGAATATTTGGTTCATGCTAAAAAATAGAGCACATTTATTAAAAATATAGATTTATAAACCTTGATAGGAACAGATACACACGTCAAGCCAATGAAAAAAAGAAAAATAAGTTATCTCCCTGGTATCAAATAGTTAGACGCTTCTGATGAATGGGATGCCTGTCGGAGGGCCGCCTCTGTGGCCTTCTGCGCTAGCCGGCCGTGGAGCTGCGACGAGACACTTGTCCAGGGGGACCCACGGCCGGGCCGCGCGTGCCCGGTTCATTGTGTCGTTTCGAAGGCGGGGTGTCGGTCAGCAGCCGGGGTCGGTGGGCATCTCCAGCCCTCGGCTCCCCGCCGGCGTCGGAGGCTGGGCATCGTCTTCCACGCCGTCTTCCAGGCCCGCTGCCAAAGACGCCGAGTTCCTCGTGGTGCGAGTGGGTTTGGTTGGATTCATTGTGCTTTGGTGTCTGCTCCTCGCGGCAGACCTGGTTGCTGTGTCGGGACCTTTGGTCAAGTTCCAAGGTGCATCTGCGCGGGTGGCGCGCGCGCTGCAGCTCACCGACCCGGCGCCACACGGGGCTCCCGCCTGCTGGCCATCCCGAGGCCGCGGGGGCCGCTCAGAGCGTGGTGTAAATGTAGACGAAGATGATCACGACGAGGTTCAGGATGGTGCCGATGATCCCCAGCATCGCCAGGACGCTCTCCTCTTTACTCTCCCTCTCCTGGCCTCTGTCTTCGTCGCTGCCACCCGTGATCACCATCTTGGTTGCAAAGGTCTTTATCTTCCTCGAAAGACTAACCTGCAAGCAGGGAGAGGCAGAAGAAGATCAGCGTTTATGAACGTCCCCGCCGTGGCCAGGCAGAGCAGCTGGCGACGCACGCCGGGGGCCAGACGGAGCGCGCGTGCACCCTCGGCCGTGGGGGAACGACAGAACACGGCTGGTGGATCTGGGGGGTGCTCTGACACTGGAATGAAGAGACGGGCCTGGCATGGCCCGCCTGGGGGTGCAGGCCTGAGCCAGCCACATGGCAGTGGCGTGGAATCCTGTGTGTTGCTCCACACAGCAGGGATTTTACACGCTTGTGTGCCGCGCGTCACCCGAGCAGCGTGCCGTTCCGTGTGTCCAGGAAGGCCGGGGCAGGGAGTCACTCTGAGTCGCCAGCACGGCAGGGGCACGGGAAGGTAACTCCCTGAGGCCGGAGAGGCTGGTGCAGGGGAGGCGGCACCACGGGAAGCTCTCATAACCTCCAGCAGCAGTGTCTATGGCTACGGCTACTCGGGAGAGCCCTTGGAGTACGTGGAGAACTGAGGAGACAGCACCTGCTCTTCCAGGGATGCACCCTGGTCCAAGCCCTGCCTCTGCACACCTGGGGACGTGGACAGGAACGTGCCTCTGAGCTTCGCCTGCTACCCAGCTGTGCACCGAGAGAAGAGCAGGTGGACCTGTAGTGACAGAGCCACACAATGGAACATCACAGGACAATGGAAGCAGTGAGGGACAGCACCCTGTGCCGACACGAAGCCCCCAGTCCCTTGGTGCAGAGGAGAAAGCACATCGCCCGAGTGTGCACGCCTAGCTCAATTCAGAGAGGCTCGGAACAGGCAAAACCAAAGAGCATCTTGCTTTAGAGATGTGCACTTTGATATCCAGAAAGAACAAGGACCTGACGATGAGACGGCTTCCCCCAGACACGAGCAGGGTGGGCGCCGCTACGGAGGAGCCCTGATGGCTTTCAAACACGCTGGCCCCACTCCACCTGTTGAGTTGGGCAGTGGCTTCCTGGGTCTTCCTTCTTACCTGTTATCCCAGCAGCTGCAGACGTGGGCTTCAGCTATGATGGCTAATGGATTTTGTAATCAGTAAAATGACTTTATTTTCTAAGATGGTTAACATGGCCACCTGGGAGCCACGGTGGCAGTGGAAGCCCCTTCCACCGATCACTAACGCCAACTCTGGAAACACTGCCGACGTGTGTGCGTGGTGGCAGCAGCCTATCTCCCGGCTGGGGCATGATGCAGACCGGACAGGGCCCCCGGCGACATCCGTTCTGTCGGAGCTGCGTCTGACAGCCAGGAGGCTTGGCCCGCTCCAGGGTGTGTCGGCTATTTCTGTGCGTTGACCTGACCAACGCTAACCCAGGTGTCCACCTGACCAACACGCCCCTAGGGTGCTGCGAGGGTGCTGACCTGGCAGAGTGGGGGAGGCGGCCGCCGACCCAGCACGGGTGCGCACCGTCCAAGTCATGGAGAGCACTGACTGCAGCAATAAGGTTGCCATGTTGGCAGCATGAGGACGCCTCCCGCCGGGACGCTGGCTCGAACTGCCAGCTTCAACCAGGTCCTCCTCGGGCTGTCTGCCACGGGTGCCCTGCTTGCTGACCCACCCTGCAGAGCCCAAGGCTCGCTGGTCTCCACCTCAGGTTCCAGGCACTGACCGCGAAGCTGCCCACCCGTTCTGTGCTCGGCAGAATGAAGGCAGGGCAGCTCAGCGCACACTTCAGACCACAGCTGGGAATGCGGGGCGGGGGGGGGGGGGCTGGGCTGAAATAGGAGGGGCTGCTGTGCAGCCTTGCTTCTGGGAGGGCGCTGGAGCAGACGCCCGGCGAAGGGGAGACGGCATGGCAGCGAGGACCGGGGGCCCGACCGTGACATGAGCGGGTGCCCACATGAACACGCGCGCGTCCTCCAGGGAAGTCTCACTTCCTTCACAACTTTGGTTGACTGCAAAGACTGGGCGTGGGTTCCGACTCCCAGGGCTCGGGTAGGGTCTGCTGGCTTTCTTACTTCTCCCCCCATCCCCACACTCCCATGCGATGCGTCTTCAAATGTGCATAGAAAATGCACGTCACAAATACACTCTGCATGGATGTCAACTTTTGGGGCACCTACATAAACGGATCTTTCCATCCTTTTTTCCACAAACTGTTACACGTCCTCAGGTCCAGCGCTGTGGCGTAGTGGGTGAAGTTGCCACCTGCATCCCATATGGGCACCAGTTTGAGTCCCGGCTGCTCCACTTCTGATCTAGCTCCTTGCTATGGCTTGGGAAGGCAGCGGAAGATGGCCCAAGTGCTTGGGCCCCTGCACCCACGTGGGAGACCTTAAAGACGCTCCTGGCTCTTGGCTTCAGATCGGCTCAGCTCCTGCCATTGTGGCCATTTGGGGATTGAACCATCAGATGGAAGCCCTCTCTCTGCCTCTCTGTAACTCTTTCAAATAAATAAATCTTTAAAAAAACTTTTTTAAAGTCCTCTTGTGCAATTAATATACAGGAAAGCGCACAAACTTCACACAGCTTAACACACACTTGTACCTGTTTGGAACCAAGAACAAGACATGGAGCCTTCCGGCACCTCAGGGCCCTCCCACGGTGCCCTGCCAGTCACTCTCCCCTCCCCCTTCCTCCAGAAAACCATGACATGACTTCCAAAGCCACAGATGGGCTTCGCCTGCTTTGGAATCTGACATAAATGGAACCCACATTGCCGTGTGTCACTACGGCCCATCCACTCACTTTGTGAACCGTATGCCATCACATCAACACACTCACCAGGGCTGTATGTAGTCTGCTGGTTTTAAATACCATTATTTTAAGTTTAAAAAGTGGGTTATTTGTGTTGAAAGGCACAGAGACATGAGACTGAATGACAGAGATTTTTTCCCTCCTTGGATTCAGACCCCAGATACCTCCAACAGCTAGGGCTGGGCCAGGCAGAAGCGAGGAACCTGAAACCCAGTCTGGATGTTCCACGTGAGTGGCAGGGCCAAGTGCTTGAGCCGCCACCTGCTGTCTCCCAGTGCGGGCACTGGCAGGACGCTGGAATCAGAAGTGGCGCTGGCACCTGAACCCAGGCACTGCAACGTGGGATGTGGGTGTCCCGAGCTGCATCACAGCCACTGGGCAGGCACCCGCCCATGACGGGCATCTGGGCTGCAATCATGACACCGCTAGGAACACCCTCGCCCTGTCTTGGGCAGACACCTGTGCCTTCCCCGATGCTTCGTCTGAGACGCTTGCACAACAGAGCTGCAAAAACTGTGAGGGAGCTCACGTCTGCACTTCCTTCCTCACGGCCCCGCCCAGCCCTTAGGCATCCGCCTCCTTTTCTGGGGCATTTCAAAGGAAGCCGCGGAAATTACTCTCCCACTTGAACACTGCCGCCTGCACAGTTAAACTGGAGTTCATTGTTTTTCTTTTGGTGTAAAATTCCTATGTGCGCAATGCTCCAGTGCCGACATACGCCCAGGAGACAAGTGCCGGGGCGGCGTGTGTGCACACGCGTGGCTTTAGCGGCTCGCCCCCCGTTTTGCAATGCAGTTGAGTCTGCCTGCTTGCTCCTTAGGGCTGCGTGGCCACTCCTCCCCTTTTACTTTGGTGACACCAAGCCCAGAGTTGGCACAAAGCCCTGGGGAAAGCTAAGTACCTGTGAAAGCCTGTCGTCCCTTTCCTGCCGTGGGAGGACAGGTACCCGGCCAAGCTCCATGGAATCCTTTGTCTATTGTCCGTCTGCTTAGACAGCCCTGAGCCCTGAGTCGGGCAGCTTCTGGGGCCCCACCTCCACCCTCGGGGCCGGGCACATGGCAGGCACTTGGGGAAGCCGTGCTGAATGAATGGGCGGCTGCTATGCAGGGATCTGGCCTCTCCCCATCTCTGCAGGGCAGGGAGTACATGGCCAAGGTCGGCCTAAAGAGACGCCGTTAGTGCTGCCCTTATAACCACAACCCATCATCACGGTCACTCAAGCACAGCGAAGTGCCTGTCATGGAAGCTGCCTGGATTCGTGGCTTAATTTAGCCTCTTGCCTGGGCTAACCCGGATGTCTGGGAGTCGGGAGGGAGCCGAGCGGGACACTCACGTGGGCTGTGTTTACTTTCTGAGGGTTCCGCAGCAGACCAAAGCCTACAGAGGAGCTGCAGCCCAAAAGTTCACTAATAAGTGGGGTGGCTCATAGACACCACATGGGGAGGGTGGCTGGACTCCCGGCAGTGACCAAGGGCTGCATCTACACATGAGGCTGGGGCACTGGTTCTGCTGCAGACACTTCTCTGGGCTGAGTGTAGAGGAGCAACAGTGGAGGAAGAGACTGAGAGAGATTGGGAGAGGAGCCTGGAAACATGGGCAGGGGTAGAGACCGGAGGCGAAAACCAAACCAAAACTAAACCTGGAGAAAAGACCAGGCGCAGCAATGTCCGACGTGAAGCTTGCTACCACGGTACAAATGCACTTACTCACCCGCTCACTCACTCACTCCTGGACGGAGGGGGAAAGGGGCAGTGACTGCAAATGGGAAAGCTGTTTCCTTTCTGGGGTGATTAAATGTTCTACACTTAGGTTTTTGGTTGTGGGTGTACAGTGCTGTGAATGTGTAACTATATAAACACTGAACCGCATGCTTTAAATAGGAGGATTTTGTGACTTGTGAATTATATCTCAATAAAGATGCTAATTTTCAAAAAAAAAACTAGCATTTGCAATGGTCCCTGAAATATAAAGTGTCTAGAGGGTGGGCATTTGGTGTGGTGGTTTAAGATACTACTTGGGAGCCCTGAATCCCGTATCAGAGGGCCCAGGTCTGTGTATGGGCTCGGTTTCCAATCCCAGCTTCCAGGTGATGTGCACTCACCCTGTAGGCAAGGGGTGATGGCTCACGTTGTTGGGTCCTTGCAACCCACAGGGGAGACCCAAATTGAGTTCTAGGCTCCTGGCTTCAGCCTAGTCCAGTCCCAGCTGTTGTAGACATTTAGGGAGTGAACCAGTAGATGAGAGATTTCTCTACTTTTCTAATAAAAAAATTGAAA